ATTTAATTTCAATACATATTTTCTTAGACTATTCGTTTTAAAGACAATTTAGAAGTTGAGAAGAAGGAATTGAGATGCAGTCGCCAGTAATTTTGCAGCCACACTTCGCTGCTCTTACTTCCTCTTACATGTCATGTCATTACAGCAGAAAAATCTTCTTGTCTTATTTGTGATTTTTTTTTTTTTTTTTGTATAATGTTAAAGGAAGACATTACTGAGCTCAATATTACACTAGCTATATGTGTAATCCTAGAAGTAAAAAAAATCTCCATTTTTTCGTTAAATTTATGAACATTTTAAGGTTGATAACTATTTCTCATTTTGTTAACCATATAAAACATAATTTACTTTTAGGTCTCTTCGCATAAGTCGTAATTTTTATTTTAAAATTTTGAATTTATGTTAACCGATAAAGAAAATGTCTGTGTGCTAACCTCTAACCTTCAACATTTCAGGTAGCTCATTTCTATGACTGCTGAAGTAATCAAAATAAACGGTTTTAGAAACAGTTTTTTTTTTTAAAGTTGGAAATAACGGGAACTTCCATTTTATGTGTTATTTTTCATTTTCCAATAGTTCTAGTTGTTAATTCGTAAAAGGAAGTAATAGTTATAAATAACAGCTAGATAATTATCTACTCACCTCTCACTTTCTATATCGGATGCTGCTTCTTAACTGCTAGATGAAGTGCCTCTACAGCCATTAAAGTCTAATTGGTCACTGTTTCCTCACCTCGGCTCTCACACGCCATCACGATCTGAGATTGGGGAGGTGGTGGGTTAGTCCATCCACAGCGGAACTCCATCCTTATCCGTAATCTCTTCATCTGATATTACACTTTAAGGACTCCCCAGCAGTATATCATCTTCCTCAGGCCATAATTATTTTATTTTGTTTCATAATTTTCAACTTTATTATTTATTGTGATCACTAGATCTACAAGTCGTCCTAGTAGCTTATTTAGATTTAAGATAAACATTTATTTATATATAGAAATAGTAAAAATTAAATTTTTTTTTTCGTTCACTTTCATCTATATATGAAATATACAATAAGAGAAAGTTTTGTGATCGTGAAAAATTGTCGAGTCTAAGTAACCAATCCAGCAAATTGGTTTTTGTATATTTTTCGACATATGGAAAATAAAGTCTGATTTGAAAACATAGTTCGTACAAAACCGAAAATATGTTTACGAAAGATTTTTTCATGTGCCTTTTCGTTCAAAATGACTTTTTTCGATCTATATAATCGACTTTACATTTTTTTTAAATATCAGAAAACGGCTCAAAGTTTTTTTTTAAACTCGTTATTTTAGTGTACAATTTAATAATGTTTAATATCAGCTAAATCATTTTTGAAATAGACGAAGAGGGCTTAAATTTCTACTATTTAAAATGGCTTCTTCTAAGCTATCCTTAATTTTTTTTAAAACTTATTTATTGAAAAATATTACAATCTGTCTCTAGGACATTTATAATAGAGTTCACAGATCACATTCACACTCTATGTACAATAAATAAAATAAATTATAGAGAAAAATAATATATATACAATAAATAAGAATAAAATAACCTAAAAATAAATAAATAAAAAGAACACATACACACCTATATACAATATTTACAATTTGGCGAGAGAACTCCTAACCAGACTTGTCCCTCCAACTGTGGAGGGAAAAGTATTACTCCAGGAGGAAAGATTAAAGATCTCTCATTGTTAATAGTAATAAAAAATGGCTAAATATAAACTATTTATTAATTAACAAAAAGAAAAAAAAATCAGATTAAATGGAAATTTTAGTAAATAAGAGCAGAGATATATATAAATAGTGTATTATTAGAAAGGTAAAAATGTTTTAAAAAAATTATCTAGTATATAAAGTTGTAAATGGTAGTGGAAATAAATGAAAATCTAATGAAAAAAAAAAGTCTACATTCATATTAATTTATTAAAACTAAATAGAACTTACATAAAAAGTAAATGGAGACATTAAAAATTTATTTTAAGCGTGATAAACTAAGGATATACGCTGCACCGGATTGCATCTCTATAAATGAAAGTTCAGTGATGAATGCACCAGACTTTTTATTTTTTTTTTTATTTAATTTGAAAAAATATCACCAATGTAGATCAATTATTATTTTTGGTGATTGTTTTCTATTTTTTTCATAAAATAATTAATAGTTTTTTTTTTTTTTAACGAAGTTTCTTTTAACAAAAAAAAGGTTTATTTTCTTTTTGTGTAAAATTATTAAACGTGAAATAATACATAAACTTCTTAGCTTAAAAAATGCTTAGTTTAACTCCAAAGGCAAGTAGAAAGAATTTTTGATTAATTCTAAAACAAATATATATCTAGTAATAAAATCAATTATGATTTATTTATTTTATAATAAAATATTTATATGCGATTTCTTAATAACATGGATTCTTTTTATGCATTTGATCTACTATAAGCTTGTAATTTGTTTATCTTATTTGTACATAGGAATCTAATATATTATAATATTACAACTTATTATTATTCTGATTATCGCTAATTTGTATAGGCATTAAATATTTCCAGCTTATCGAACTGAGTATTATTAGACCTCGATGAGGCAGCACAGCCGCAGTTGGCCGCAGCTTATCTGCCACTGATCCCAGGCCTCCGACCTAACCTAATTAGCAATTACAATGGCTGATAGGGTTAATTCTCAACGCCATGCCCGCCCGTATGCGGTTGTTGTAAAATCCATCATTTAGGAGTCGTGGCCACCTGCTGTGTGATAACACCTCTAATGTGCGACAGCCTGGTCGTGTGGATTTAAGATCAGTTTACACAATGAAAGTAGCTGTGACAGTTACAGTCATATAACAGTAAAAGTCGCAGTTACTATCATCGAGTAAACCGTATGAATGTTATCTTCCTGAAAGTTTTTACTTCAGCAATAGTTACTATTGCAGTATTACATTTTACGTGATAGTTGTGTGTCTCTTCTAATGTTCTCTCTTCTCTTGTGATGTTGTTGCGTAGTCTCTTCTAATATATTCCTGTGTTTGATTATTTCTTAATTTAAAAAATACTTTATCAAACATTTTTATTAAATTCTTGGAGGGGGTACAAACTATACCCTTTACTTTTTTATTATTTGTTAATAATAATTAGCTGTTCATAGTCGGCGGTACAGATCCCTTTTTATCAAATTATTAACATGCGCCTGAAATTTCATGAATAGCTTCATCTCATCGTAACCTCATACTATTTAATTCACGAAAACTGTTAGGATTATGGCGTTTTCAACTTGGAGATCGTCAAACTTTTTTTATTTCATTAGGTACTAAAAACTCGTAAATATCCGTTTGCTTTCCATTTCAATCGTAAGATAATTTCAGCACAAACTCGAGAAAAAGATGGCCTTCAAAAATATTGAGGCGTTTGGTGTGACCTACATCCAAAATAACAAGGTTGTATAGACCAAACGGTCCAATATTTTTGTAATACACCTTTTTTATCGACTTTGTAATCAAATTATCTTATGATGCAAGTAGAAAGCAAAAAGCGGGTATTTACGAGTTTTTATTACTTAATGAAATATACAAAGTTTAACGATCTCCAGATTGAAAACGCCGTAATTCCGAGAATTTTCGTAAATAAAATGTTTTTAGGTTACGATGAGATCGAGCTATTTACGAAGTTTCATGTGGATGTTAACAATTTGACAAAAAGACGTCCGTATCAGGGAACTATAGGGAAGTTAGAATCGGCAATAATTTGTCCGACAAATTTGAGGTTCGTTCGGGCTTAAAACAGGGGGATTCTCTTTCGCCTGTCCTGTTCAATTTGGCATTAGAACATGCCATTAGGGAGGTAATGCGAACCGAGAAAGGGTTGGATCTGGGCGGGACAACATCCGTGCTGGGCTATGCTGATGATCTGGTACTGTTAAGCGAAGACGTTGAAACTATAAAACTAAATACGACAACGTTAATGAAAGCCGGTAAAGAACTAGGACTCGAAATAAACGTGGATAAAACAAAAAATATATATTAGCTGCAAAAATGGCGATACTACTGGTGATATCGATATAGATGGTAATATGTTTGAACAGGTAGATAAATTTAGGTTCTACGATAACTAGAAAAAACGAAATTGAAGAAGAGATTAAGGTTAGACTGAAGGCGGGGAATGCTTGTTATTTAAGTAGTTACAAAACTACTTAGTTGCGCCTCTTGTCCCGAAACTTAAAAATTAGAATCTATAAAACAATTATCTTGCCTACAGTTCTTTATGGATGCGAAACTTGGCCGCTTACATTAAGGGATGAGCAGCGTCTTAAGGTTTTTGAAAATAAAGTATTGCGTAGAATATTCGGACCGAAGAAGGATGAGTTAACCGGAGAGTTCAGACGGTTACACAACGCCGAATTGCGTGAGCTGTATCCGGGTAATATAATTGAGGTAATTTCATCGCGGCGAAGTCACCAAGTTTACAGTCATCGTGTAGACAAGTACACTGCCGAACTTATTTATTAAATTACTCGTTACTTGAAAAAATAATTGTTTGAACTTTTTAAGTTATTCGAGTAAATTGTAGTGAGCTAACAGCCCCAACATGTTTTTCAAAAAATTAAAACAAATCCCTTAGCAATTTATTTAAATTTAATTTTTTTTTATGGACGCATTATTTGTTTATTAGAAATCAATCAAACTGAATGTACCAATTATTATATCGTATGAAAATTTCCTTTAAGATAAAATCGTTAGGTTTGGAAGGCTATAAAAAACATCTACGACAGTTCTTTGTTAATAGTTAATTATTCTTTAATTAATTACCCACCTTCTATTGATACAATAATTTAAACTCTTCCTTCATTTAAAGTAATTGATTAAATTAACGTTTCTGTATAGACTTTTTCCATTCTCTTGTTAATAACTGAAATACATCTCCATTAACTAGACATTGAATAATATAAAAAAAGAAAATTTCAGTTTTTTAATTGAGTGAATGACATTTTGAAATGCCGATCTTAGGAGTAAATTCGGTTATTAAGGTAACATAACCGATTATGTTAACATCCTCAGCAATCCAGAGACGACGCAATAGGGCTGATCCCAGTGCAGGGACCTGTCTCTGGTTTCCTTCTCCAGGTTTTTTCTCCAGTCCCTAGGGTACCTGCCTCCCAGATCCCCAGCCGACTCAGAATCCGCTTTCTGCTCCAGCGGCCAGCTCACTGGAGGCTACAGTTTCACTCACTCTCTCCGTGGTTTATCTTACATCAGTGCCCGTATCTTTTTATTTACAATTTATCTTGACTTTATGGACAGCAGTGCGGTCTAACGCCATAATTGGCTGCTAATGTGCTAGAAATCAGAATCGTTGCTACCATATATTCTTCTTCCTCCTTCCTCTCTCAGTGTTAATAGAAGCAGAAGAAGAAGATGGGAAGTCCGTCACTGCCAGAGCCAGAGGGTGGAGTGGAGGCACTCCAAGAGCGGGACCGCACTCCTCCCGCCTCTGTTCTCTTCTAATTGCGGCAATTAGTTGCAGCCCTCATCGGATTTCTTTTTCTCCTTCCTCTTTTTCTCAATGATTTCAGCTGGATCTGCTTTAGTATATCTTATCTTATCCTTCTCAGGCAGATATACTTTATTGCTCCCTAGTATTTGCAAGACCTTCAGAGTGATAACTTTCTAAGAAGCAGATAAAATGGTCCAGTTTGACAATTTTGTTTTCTTTATATTTGAGTGTGCCTTAAGTTTCTTCCTTTCATTAGAAAAGAATAGAATAGAATAGAAATTTAAACTTTATTCTGGGACCAAGTTTTAGAATAACAATGATGAGTTAATACAAAGTAAAATACAAATCTGGCCAAAAACTAACTTCTAAAATTTTTAATATTATATACATTATTTAAAAAGTATGTAACCAGTAAAAATAAAAATATATATAAATGAACATAAAATCTTCTCAAAATTACTTATAATTGTGATGAAAAAAAAAGAAAAGAAATTACATATTTATATATACATAACTACACAATTTATAAACAAGAGGCTATCTAATAGAAAACTAACTTCATACAAAATGTAATAATATCTACAGTGATTTATATAATAATATGCAGACACTAAGATAAAATAAAATCTTAGGATTACTTGTGGTGTAATGGAAAAAAAAAAAGGAACTATTTATACGTACATTCTCATATTGGCACACAGAGAGACAAAAAGTATAAAATATAAACATATATACCCGAAAGAAAAAGCACAGCCTGAGTAGAAGAGAAAAACAAATAAATGGTAAAAATAATAGTCAAACTAGGTGACAAAGATCATTGCTGTTTTATGTTAAAACTTAAACAGTAGGCACCATCATTTACTTCACGCAAATTCCGTTCATTTGCGCATTATGATGCGAAGAGAAAATATTTCGAATGTCTCTTTGTCACCAACGTAACGAAACCGACAAAAAACTTACAGGACACCCTAATATTGTCCTTGTTGGTATTTATAACTATAATTTATCATATTTTTCAAATAACATTATACATAACAACTTAACATCCCGACAGTAAAATCCTACATCCACGACAAATACACTTCATTCTTTAACACTAAATCCCTTCAATCTATTAGTCCCTTCTATTTCCTGCTCCTTGTTACCCGATCGACAAGAGTAAAAACAAAAATGGCCAAGGGACCTACTCCTACAATAATAACAAAATGAAGCTAATCAAGCGAACTCACATCTAATGCCTAAAATATCAAATTTTGCTAGGCGCGCTACTGCGCAGGTGCAAATGGCATAAACTGTCAAATAAATAAATACAATTTATGTTATATAATTTAATTTATTATATCGTTGATATAGCTCCTTCAAAATGTTTGTTGGGTATATCATTATTATATTTCGAGGTCAATAATTTGTCGTTTGAAAATAAACTCTATGGGAGAAGCTGTTGTTTTATGGATGGGTAAATAGTCGATCGATCAATTTTTGTTGTTCAAGAGGTACAACCAAACCTAATCTAACCAGGGTGGGAGGGTTGAGTTTCATTCCTTGGGTCTGCCACGAAATAAAAGTCAAACACTCCTAGGCCGGATTCCAACCGGCATCGCTAGGCACGAGGATGCAAAAACGGGCAATGCTCCAACACACTCGGCCACCACGACCTCTCGACTGATCAATTATTAAAATAAATCAAAATTGTCAAGATTTACAGTCAAGAATTTTATTAGGTTAGCCGACGTAAAAATAATAAACATAAAAGTTTAAGAGTAATTAGAGAACAGAATAACAGTAACATGATTACCCTTACGCTTTTATATTTATTGTTTTATCGATGTTATTTTATATTTTGTATTTTTTAGCCCTGAGGATAACCCTCATGTTTGGGTCGGAACGTCGGCTAACCTAATAAAAATTCTTGACTCAAAACCTGACAATTTTGTTTCATCCTATGTTTAACATTGTAAAAAAGAAAAAACAAAACCTGTTCGCTGGTATACATTATATTGTAGAGAAAGCAGTGTCTACTTCATAGGCGTAGAATTCGAGGAGGGAAGAGTGGGAGGCCGTCGGCTCTCTAATTAAAATAAATAGGAGACGAGAATATCGTTTTATCCCTCCCCAACATTTCGAAGAACAAAAATAAAGTCAGAACCAATTAAAATTAATCTTCATAGATGAATAAAATATGTAAACTAAAATCAATTAAGAAAATCTAAGGCCTAGAAGTAGGTACGCAAGTATTTAACACGCCATATGCTCCTATTATTAAAATTTTAGTTCATATTGAAAGATAATTATATAGTACAACATATTCTAGGAGCTTATGATTTATTCATGTGCAACCATAATTTTTTTTTTTTTTAATTTCTTTATGACATTTACAACTGTATTACATAAATACATCAAGTAAATTTGGACATAATTGATATAATGACATGAATACACTTGCTGAGTAACTACCCAATGGTAGCACTCTAATGAGATGACTACATTAGGAGATCACGGGGCCATCTTCTTTTCAGACGCCTCGGAGGGTTATCAGGAATTGAAGAGGAAGCAAGGTTAGAAACGAGAGGGTTGGAATGATTCTGAAGTTTATTATGGAAGGACAGGTATCTGGATTGAGCTAAATCGGAAACATATGGTACATTAAGGTCATTATGGATGATTTTATTTGTGACAAAGTAGGGAGCATTAAGAATTTTACGAAGGATTTTGGATTGTAGGGATTGGATACGAGAGGAATTTGATGGTTTAGTAGAGCCCCAAAGCTCGATCCCGTAAGTCCAAATAGGCCTTATTATAGTAATATATATTATTCTTTTGTAAATAGTTGGCAGTTTAGAGCGTTTGTCTAGTAAGTGCTGGAGTAGTCGGAAACGTCGGGCGGTTTCTAGTCGTTTCAGTCTGGTATGGGGGTCCATAAATTTTAACGGGAAGATTCTATAACATTTCCCGCTGCGAATTTAAAACATCGGAGAATTGAGAGTTGTTCTCATTTCTTCAAACCTTTAATAAAAATAAAAATATGTAATACTTGCAATTGTTTTGTTAACATATTTTCAAATATATCCTGTACATGCAAAAAAAAAAAAAAAAAAAAAAGAACTATAATAATATTTATATAAATTTGTTTTTAAATATAATATTATATTATTTATCACTTATAATTTTTATACACAATTAGGATGAATATGGTCTTCTCACTGATCAAAGATTAACCATCTTCTTTTCAAAGTCTCAGAAGGTTGTAAGTAGTAAGTTGATTGAAATGCTATTGTTAATGGAATTTGAATGGTTGAGAGATCTATAATGAAAGGTTATCGACTATTATTCTTTTAAACCATTTCACTTAAATTTATTCCATTTTATTTATCTTTGTGAGCATAACATAGAAAACGTGAAAAAATTAGCTTTTTTTATCGGGGTTCTTAACCTCCTTATCTCAACCTTAACCAAAAGCCGTCCCTGACGACTTAAGGCATCGAACTTATAATCCTGTAGAAAATGTTAAACAAACAAATCCCCAGCTCAATGTTCCCTTCCTGATGATTTGATTCAGTGATTGAGTCTTCCAATTTTTGTATGTCGATGCGTCCCCCCTCTACTGCGATGAATATTTATGTAAATCCGAGCTGATGGAGCCCAGCCCCAGGAAGCAATAACCACAAATATGGGCGGCTTAGCCTTTGATTACAGCAGGCTCTTAATTATAATCTGTGTGAAGGGATTCCGCCTAAAATGTGTTCGTCGGTTTATAACTGGCTTATGCTCACTCATCCGCTAAATATTCCCTTTATCCGAGCTCTCTTTGACCCTGATGAGTTTATTATTGTGAGCCAGGTTTGTTACAGCAAATGGGCTTTTCATTTGATTCCTTCAAATAACTGGTTGGAACAGTTCCATAAATTAAAAAAAAAATAGAGACGATAAAAGGTCGAGAGAAATTGTATATGAAACAGTCAGTTCAGTTAAATGAAAGTCGAACTAAAGAAAAGTGGACAATTATCAACAAAGAAAGTTAATAATACTTTATGGAAAAGGTAATTATAAGCCCTTTAAGTCCTCGTGGCAGTTAAAGTTTGAAATGAACCTGTGAATTGTTATACTATTTTTTTCCATTTTCTCATCTTTTGTAAAGGCCTTAAATATTATCTCGTCCAGACAAAAAACAATAGCAACGCAAGACGCAACTGCTACTTACTATTATACTATGAAGAAAATAAATCTCTAAAATATTAAGTTAAGAAAAGGAAAACTGAATTTTGTTTATCAGAAGTTACTTTCACTTCAGATATATTATGTTTAATCTCCTTATGATGTGTTCACTTACGGGACCAGAACGGCGATGTGCAAAGAATATATGACAGCTAATTCCACATAAATCCATATCATTAATATTTATGAATTTGAGAGAGAAATATTTTTTTCAGATCTACTCCATAGTAAACATTGCATATTTTTTTTAAAAAATATGTTTTGCGGGTTGTTTTGTTAAAAAAACAAAATACCATCAAAACTTTTATAACAAAATTGGGCTCGTCTCTACTTTGAACACACCAGTGACTCTATCATTTTCCCGTTTCGCATCTCTTAACACGGCGTCGCGTTTAGATATAATTTTAAATAATATCTCACTACAAAGAGAATGAGATGCTCAACATTTCTCTTGCTTAAAGTGTTCTGGTCTGATTTTCAGTTTCTGACATATTTTAGTTCATATCTTCAATAAACCTCGTTATCAATTAGTTGTCAATACCATTTTTCCTTCCTCGCCTCTCTAACAGGGCGCGCAGTGTGGGTACGAGTAAGGGAAAACTCCCTAAATCAGCTAAATCAATTTTTTTTTTTTCAATTCAACTATTCAATAAAAACAGTAAAAATGTATATTGTGCTAACTGAATATATTCTCGGAAACTCCGAGAACAACACAAGGTATTAATTAATAAAACAGTATTTCTAGTTTTTTAATTTCTAAAAAAAAATAATAGATTTAGACAGATGTCACGAGTTTTCCCATACTCGTTCAACTGTGTGCCGTCGCGTTAAGATATAGTTTTGAACGATAGCTCACAGCAAACAGGATGAAATTCTGTAGATTTCCATCGCTTGCAGTATGCAGATACGATTTTTAGTTTCTGAGATATGTTAACCCAAACGCAAAAACGCTTCAAAAATTCACTGGTGTGCTTAAAGTAGAAAAGAGCCTAAAATTGTAAAAGTATATCGTTAAATAATAATGTTATTCCATCACGGTTACGATTCCGGCTTATTACTGTAAATAAATGAACAATTGTAATCGAAGTGGAAAAAAAATTCAAAATTTGAGGTTTTACGTTTCACGGTTGGTGGAATTCAAAAACCCCCAAAAAATAAGTTTTTCTCCGAGGCCACTGAACTGATTATTTTAAGATTTGATATCAAAGCTATTCTAGCCTGATCTGCCTAACTAAATATTACCATACGCTCTACAGTTTAAAAATGTCTGTTGAAATGTCCATAACGATTTTAATGAATATTTCCAAAATTCTTCTACTTGTAGTCCTGTAAATTTGTACATTCATCGCCGAAAAGAAGCTAGAAAACAAGTTATGATGAAAGCAGAATTTTATTTGCAAATTACTCAATTCGTACACACGTGTTTGTATTTATGCTTATTTGAAAGATTATTGACGAGCTGCTAATTGTGCCATTTTATCTCGACGATAACTACTTGCGTGCCTAATCAGTTGTTAGATTATTTAGACTGTTTATTCTGCTTTGAAACCTTGGATTTAATTTAATAATTTCTATTAAATAGGATTAATTTGAGTTTGAAATAAATTATTGATTAAATAAATTAATAAACCTCTCAGTATTCTTATCTTTTTTTTATGGTTTAATAGATTTTTTTTTACTAGAAATAATTTAACGGTTGTTTTTTCATGATGAAAAACATATTCACTTAAAATATTTCTACAAAAAGAAATTCTATTTTCGTTGCTCGTGAATGCAGAGAGTTTCATTAACTATTGCTATTAATAGATCTATGGTATGGCAAGATTAATACAATACAATATACAAATATATTTGCAAAGACAAAGCTTGTGATTATACATATATGTAATAGTTTAAAATAAAATTATGGAGGATCAGAAATAGGCAATATAAATAACAAAATAAACCGTCTATTGTTTATCTTTAATACGAAATGTAATGTTTTAGATAACATTCCTGGTGTATGATTCTTATTAAGTCCAAGGCACAAAAATCTAAATGCCACTTTTTTAACAAAAGTGTGTTTACAGGCTTTTGCAATGTGGTTCTCGATATCTGTATTTTATCTATTTAAAATATATATAAATTTTATATTGATTAATATTTTAGGGCGGTCCCTCCACGCCCAGTGGTATAATAAACGGCCTCTGGCCACAGATGCAAAGAACGCATACAGCGTGCAGAGCCCTCTTAACTTAAAATGCCCTTGGGCAATAAAAGGAAAGTTGAAAATTTATGTATATATACATTTATATACATACTGAATTTATTCAAGAAATTCCTGGGGGGTAGGAAAAAAAAAAAAAAAAAAAAAAAAAAAAAAAAAAAAAAAAAAAAAAAAATTAATATTTTAGCATTCACCGAATACCTTATTTAGGTATAAATAGTTTCTTGGGTGATAAATATTATAAAGTTTGAAGTGGTGGAAACAAGCCCTGACGACGACCCACATGTTTGGGTTGAAACGTCGGCTCCAATAAAAACTTTATAATGACTGCATCCTGAATATTTGTCACCCATGATGTGTAGAACAGTTGACTAACTTCCTTCAATACTTCAATAAATAGTTTCTATATTCTTCATGCTTTATAGAGATGTGTATTTCTGTAGATAATATTATCTTTAAAACGTGAGCTAATATTGAGCAGTTTTGCTTTTTCGTTTGTTTCCCTATCTTGCTATCGGACGCGGCGCAAATCGAATTGCCGGCCCGGAAGGCCTGGGCGTGCAGATTAGAGCTGGACAATAGCTCATCAAGTGCCTGGATAATGGTGCCATTGTTCTGGAACTGTTTGCTGAGGCAGGCTGTCGGGAATATTCCTGCCTGTTCGCCGGCACGCTCGTTGAGGAAATCATTAGAGCAATTCGATATGGAATTACTGATATCATGCTGCTTATGTCAGCCACAAATTTCTCTGTAAAAGCAGACTATGCTATGTTATGTATCAAAAATGAAAATGTTAGAATTTTTTTTTAAATCTTTATGGTAAATCTTGTAGGAGATGGTCCGGTAGTCTATCAGATATAACACCTTATCTACCCTGATGAGACCGTCGAATTATCTGCTTTGATTAAATAGTTAATTCTTATTGGATAATATTTCAAGAACGTCAATCCCTAGAATCTCGAAAATAACCGAATACTTCCGAAAGTAGACGGAGCCGACCGATCTCCATCCTTCAGTGCTTATTGAATCACCCACCATTTTAAAAGGAAATTTTTACTCAATAATGCGCAATTTCCACGTTATATTACGTCTTATTTGATTGATTCATCACATGATTTTAATTTACATAATGTTTGACTCTTGTTTTTTTTCATATAAATAACGGCATTCATATAAATAATTATGGAAATAATCCTTACCGATTGACCCGAATATTCTTTGTTTCTTAGGTAATAATTCATTATAAATAAGATGTTACCAACATTATTAGAACATTTAAGGGTAATAAATAGTTAGGACGCAGTCATTTTAAGAATTTTATTGGTGCCAACATTTCAATCCAATCATATTGGTCATCAGCAGTGAAGGTGTTCAAGTACTCGAAACGTCGGCAACAATAAAAATCTTTAAATGACTGCTTCGTAACTATTTATTACTCTTAAAACGCAGAAAATTCGACTAACCTCCTTCAATATTTAAAAAAAAAAAATGTATTAATTTAACTTTGCAAAATAATTTTTTTAACAGATTAGCATTATAAAAATGTGGCTGGTAATGATAGTCCACAATAGTTACTAAATTCCGTAATAATCTTATTATTAAATACTAATGGCAATTATTATGTAGCGTATTGTATTTAATATTTTATTTTTACACATATTTTCTCCTTACTGCCTTTTAATATCCGTCAGTTGAGAGAGATTGACTTCAATTTAATTTATATTTTGTTGTATTTTAGTCAAAAACATTTCCCTTCGCTAGAAAGGCGTGAATACAACCTGATCTAATATAGCTTAATATAAACAACACGTCAAAGCAGCTCTGGATGTAACAAGTTTGTCAATACTGGGCTACTTTCGGTATTGTTCGATAATCAGGGAAAATCATAGTTTGGGTGATCTTAAAATCGGTTTTTATTTAGGAGTAGCGAAACTGAACTAGCACCGATAAAACTAATAGTGCGATTTTACAAAATATGTAGGTTTTTTAGCAAACTGAATATTGCACAGAAACCTTCTCTTGCGGGATAATTTAAACTTATTTAAGGAGATATTCAATATAGATTTCCCCTGAAGTGGAGCGATCCCCGATAGGATAGATACCAGGATAAGACAGAGCTCTCAGGATGTTTGTCCCCGCCCGTCGGAACTCCTTTATGACGTGGAGTCCTTCGTGTGTAAACTCTCTTATCTGTTGCAGGTTAAACTCTCACAAATACCAGAAAACCAACCTTGTCGGACATCTGTCTCTGCCGCTTTGTTATTTTTATTTTATTTGTTTATATTGACATCCTATGTTTATAAATTATATCCATGTTATCATCTTTATAAACATTTTATTTTAAAATAAATAAATAGTTGGTAAATTTCAGTATAATTTTGTTTTAGTTACAAGTATGCTGCTTGTATTTATGTAAACACTTTTGGTAAGCAAAAATAAATCGTTATCTTGTCAGTTTCGAACTGAATAAAGATTGTTGGTTCATTTTTTTTAAATTTCTTTTTGTTCATACGTTGTAACAATTTTAGTAGATAGAAAAGAGAATCTAATATTGATTATAGACAATTAAGCTTGTTATAAATAAACTATCCATCCATCTTAAATTTCTAATTAACCGATCAAACTGAAATTTCTTTCAGGTGACAATGCAATGTTATCCGAGTGATTAAGGTGGTCTGATGTAATAGCCAATATTTATAGAAGGAAGGATCATCAGCTGTTTAGAATGACGTGGCCAATTTAGATGAAAATGTTATATAAACCTGGCAGCAATTTCTTTGGGGTAAATTTAGTGCCGGCCTTAAAATGTGAGCAGCGGTTGTACCGGCTGATCTTCAGGGGTCCACATATATGTATTTATGTGTGTTACGTTTGTACTTTAAAAGGGAGCTAATCCTTCTTAGAGTGACTCGGAATGGGCGAGTACCATTAGTAAAGCTGAGGGTAATGAGGATTTAGTTCCTTAATCCATGGAACCTTGCAACCCTCATCCATTGGCTATTAGGTCGGCTTACAGCCTCTCTCGATCAATGAGGGATTGCTTGGAGCACCAGTGGCTTAGTTTGCTCCGAGGTTAATAACAATCAAACCATTATTCGGAAGAAACATCTTACTTTATATTATAGTTTATAAAATGCAAACTTATAATCGAGTAAAGTTGAAAAATGTTATAAAGCTAAGACCATAGTGTTTTTGGAACTTTTTTTTTTAAATATATTTTTTTCTCTTGTGGGTTCCTCTTTAATTTAATTACGTATCGATTTCAATTTATTTTGTAATCCAATCTTTTTGTTTTGTGTAATATTACCGAATCGTTCGTTTCTATTCACAGCTCCTCTATATTCTTAGGGTCATTAATTTGCAGTAAGCGGGTCATACTGCAAAAAATTTATAGATCTGTTTGCGTTGTGGAGAAGACATTACTGAGTGGGTGGTTAGGAAATACGGTTATGTCCTCCGCAGGTTCTCCTAATTGCCCCTACCGATATAACCCTCCCCCCCCCTCTTACCGTCTTCGCCATATGCCATTGTCTGTTCCTGTGATAATCTTCTATGAACAATACTGTTTTACAATTTTAATCTTAAAAATTGTATGTATTAAATCCGTTCATATAAATCAATGTAAAATAATAGGAAATTTGAGACTTTCTTTATTTTATATAACAATTCTTCGTTAGAAAATAATGTAAATTTTTTTATTGTGAAACTTAAATCACACGTAACATGTTCATTCGTGCAAAAATGTTTTACCACAATGTGGTTTGAGTTCTTAATGAAGAAACGATGTCTTATAATAGTTTTGTAACTATGTAAATAATTTTAAATTAATTAAATAAAATGACATGCATAGCTTTCGACACTTTACACATTGACTCTTGAAGAGATATTTTCAACATTAATGTAAACCACACCTTTAGTTCTGATGGTGGGTCTTTGCAAATTGTTCAAATTTAGTCTTTTATCGCATTTATTTTTTTTATATGAAGCCAATTAGTTAATTAATGATGAAAAACTTAAGGAATTCTGACAGTGTATATTGCACCATTAATAGATATTCAGGTTTTTGCAGTTAATAGGTTTTTTATATAATTAACACTTACGAACTCATTACAAACGATTCCACGACAACTTAAAACTAAAACACTCATCAATGACATGGCCACTATGCAAATGCCAGGTAACGACTGTAGGAGGCTGAAGAGGAGCTGGATGAAGGACCACCTCGCCTAATGTAGATATCACGCCGAGTGAGGTGCCACTGTGTACTGCTTCCTCTCATGTCTTACATGTCATTATATTATTGAAGGTGAATCTCATTATGACAGGTGTGAATAGAAAAAATAATCAAAGATTAATTTTAAAAAATATTTGTAGCCTATCTTTGCTTTTCGACGTTATCTTGGTTTAAATCCATTTTTTATTAAAAATAAATTCAATGGCATTTTAGAAATTCAACAATGTTTCAATTTTTGAGGTTGGGGGCCGTCCACAAGTGTTTTACTTTTTTATTGCCAATTTATTATAAGGTACTGGTTTTAGCGCATTCGTTTCTTGCCTTATATTCTTACCTTTTCTGTTTAAAATTTTTTGTATAGTGTATAACCAATCGATTATATAATATTTAGCCATCTCTTGTACCAAACCCTAGATTCTATTGAAAACATTGCCACTAAACGAAACCTGATTTACAATTACTGCTATATTTTACTGTTTTCCATCTCAATGAGTAATAGTATAAGTCAGCGCAGTACAAGGTCATTATACCACAGGAGTAATTCCTCTCAGAACCTGTCAACTACCTCCACTCAACATCGATTCAAGAGAAGCCATTATCCATCCAAATCGTAACCGGTGCATGTGTACGGTTTCCTCTAAAATACCCACTGTCCCTCATCTTGTTAGTGGTGAAGTCCCTTCTGGCCAATATACAGGAGGATGGCTTCGTGGTTTTTTGTATTCGTAAGAGCATTCAATAACTCGATATTGTCATTTCTATTAAAAGCGAGAAGTCCTACATGCACAAACCCATACTACATCGATGCCTTCGTATGTTAAATCTGACCATGAAAGCTGATCAACTCAACCTAAAACCAAGATACGATACAATGGTTGCTTGGTCGATAAAAAATATTATTACTGTTTTTTTTTAACCTAAAAGCGAATATCCTTATAAATTGAAGAAAAGTAGATACCCTCGTTTATATAATTTCTTATTCTCTCCTTGCTACTGGTCTTTAATCAGACTTTCATCAGATTAAGTTCTTATGACGGTTCTCCTTTTCTGCTTGTTAGATGAGGACTGATGTCCTTATGTTAGTTAATATCTTCCTTAACCTTCTACAAGGTAACAATAAAGGTGGTATAGAGGCCCTTTGATAACGTCAGTAATGGTTGTTTGTTCTAGATATACTAAGTTATTCCAGTAATAATCAGAAATTTAAAAATATTTTGATGGTACTGCTAGGAAATAAGTAAATTTATTATATTACATTAATATTTGTTATTTTTCAAATATATGAATACAATTGTCTAGGGATGAAATATAGTCAGGGTGGTTTTGTTGTCTAGTTTTTTTATTAGGCTTGACTACGTTTCGATGCAACCATGTGGTTCATCGTCAAAGCTGAAAATTACATCAGAGATACAAGATGGTAAGCCCAGATATAAGGATGGAATTGACGATTGATAAAAAGATGTACTTCTGTCTATATCTTTAATTCTGATTTTTTTTTTCATTCTTAGGTCTGATAACCCACATACTTGTGTCTAAACGTCGGCAAACCTAATAAAACATATCTAGATTAAAATTCGCTAAAGTAATTTTCTCGACACCCTTTAAATTTATCTATATAACATACTTCAAGGAAAAGGCTTGACTACGTTTCGATACAACCATGTGGTTCATCGTCAAAGCTGAAAATTACATCAGAGATACAAGATAATAAGCCCAGATATAAGGATGGAATTGATGATTGATAAAAAGATGTACTTCTGTCTATATCTTTAATACTGATTTTTTTTTTTCATTCTTAGGTCTGATAACCCACGTACTTGTGTCTAAACGTCGGCAAACCTAATAAAACATATCTAGATTAAAATTCGCTAAAGTAATTTTCTCGACACCCTTTAAATTTATTTATATAACATACTTCAACGAAAAGGAGCTGAAAAAAAGTTACGAGGGATCGTAAAATTCATTTTTTTTTTAAATTACTTAAAATGTATACTATACACTTTTTGTTGGTGTTTTAAATGTTTACGGAATTTCCTAAAAAAAAAAAAAATCGTTAAAATCGGACAATTAGGTCTGTTTATGGTCTCTAGTTTTTTTTTATATGTTCTGTTGCAAAGGTTATAATCCTTTGTTTTGGTTTTTGAATTTTGAATGTGTTACTTAGGTAATGCTAATTTTTTTTAGCATATTACTAATGTTTAAAAAAAAAAAAGCTTAGTCCATTAATTGGAATCACCTTTTATTTATTTATTTTTTTTTGTAACTAGGAAGGTAATGAATTTTACTTTAGATGTATTATTGTTTGAAAATAATAAACCATTGTGAAATAATTTGCAGCGTTTTTTTATTTAGTTTAACGTTGACCAAAGTTTATGACTTTTTTTATATGAGAATGTAATTGTTTCTCCTTGCTTTTGTACTCGTAGGATTCATAGCATGTATTAACGTTCTGGTCGCTCGGATTATTATAATTTAATCTGATATTTTCTTTAATTAATTTACTTCCTTATACCTGAAAATTGTGTTTTTTTTTTTAATTATCTAATAATTTATAAGTGTAAATATGCCATATGCATTTTGAATTTTATTCGTCGGACGTCGGACCCTAATAAGTTTCCCCTCAAAACAAAGCCTGGTATCCATATTCGCGGCTCGTACTGCAATGCTGGACATGGCATGCACTGATTCTGTTGTGTGCGCTGGGTGCTAATTTATTGCGCTGTAGAACAATGTGCACGCATTGCATACCGTACTCTTCTGTTCGACGAATATAATGCGACTCGTGTCCATCCTTCGCTTTTGGATAGTATGTGCATTCGTATTGTATGTTGAGAATAAGAAAATAAATTAACTTTCATAATAAAAAAATCCAGAGCCCTACACATTGGCTTCCTAGCTGTTCTCATACTTGATGTATATCCTGATGAGGATATTTTTTTTAGAAGGATAATGAGCGAATCCCTAAAAAGGTGATGTGACGTGTAAACATTCAAGAAGTAGATCCAGGGGTAACTGTGAAGATTCTATTAGGACTGATGTTTATAAATCAGTTTTTATGTGAAAACATCATCTCTTTCTGGGATATTGCGCATTCATTACATGAGCTTTTCAGTTGGCAGAATGACTAACTCCAATTTCAATATTTTTGAGTAAAGTCGTATTAGTGATATTTCTGGTTGTAAACTTTATATAATATATGTACAGTCAGTGAGTAAGTTGATTCCAGAGTAGCTGATTACAGTATTTAAATATATAACTGTGGATAATGTTAGAAATATCAATGGTAGAATTAATAATAAAAAAAATTGAAATTGGAATTAGTCATTATGTCAACTGAAATGGTCATATATCACAACTCCCCGACATTATATGCTGCTGTATAATTAACTGTTTTATATTGTATCCGACTGGTGGAAAGAGAGAATAGAATTTTTAAAAAACGGGAAATATATACTTCTTCTTGTTATTCAATGGAGGTGCAGACTTTCGAAAACTACTGCTACTATACCATGAGGGACTGAAGAAATCATTTCTCCGCTACTTCCGAAGTTTTTCTCCAATGAATTGCACTATCTTTTGAAACCGTTTGTGTTTCTATCACGTGTTCCACAGTTTATGAAGAACATGTATGATGTGGCAATCAACAAAAATAAAAATGGTGGATAGGTCATCGATGTAAGTGATAGTTTCACGTAATTATCTAACAGTCTGCAATGTTTATCATATTCTAGTGGATGATCAATATGGAGCTGTTAGAGGAAGCTTGTTTGAAAACCTTCATTAAAGTAAGCTATCTCAGATGGAGTGAATATGCCAAAAGAATTAAGATCAGGTCTCGAAGAAATTCTTCAAGAAGAAATCTATGGCAAACGAAATTGAGCCAGACCAAGGTTGTGTATGGTGTTGCAGGAATTCTGACATCCATAAGAAGTATCCTGAAAAACCGTAACGCAGAACTAAATTGTTTGGTGGTCAATTCTGCAAGATGCTCTATCCTCACATGGGATGAATCTTCACTTCAGAAGAAAAAATATTAAACTGCTAATGTCCCTCTTTGGTTGTTAATAATTTAAATTCAGTGGTTGGCGTTATTCATTGACATTGTTTATATAAATAAGAAAGATACATTTGTTGAAGATTTTCTTTATCATAATTTATTCAAAAGTAATCATTAATAGAAAGTCACTAAATAATTTTCTCTTATTAGGTAGATAGCACGATAAATCCGAATTCCCGGAAGTTAATAAAAATAAGATAAAACATTTGATTTGTATAGACTTAAATTTTATTGTTA